GACAATAATGTAAAGAGGGAATAATTAATTAGTGGACAAGTAGCTTAATATATATCAGTTGTAGCAGTAGATGAGCACAGCAGCTGCGATTCCGTGCCCCAAAAACACACACTTACCCCCCGCAACCCCACTCTAAGCCAATCATCCATCACTACACAACACGACCTCGATTTGATCGTTCATCTCTCTTTCTTTGAATTCTCAACCCCCTCTCTCCTCTAGAATTTTATTTTTTTCTCCTTTTCTCTATCTAGTTTGCCAGTAAGGGCAGTGTTTCAGTGGCAGTGCAGAGAGAGAGAGAGAGAGAGAGTTTTCATCGGGAAGGTAAAGCTTTGCACCGCAAGGCTCAAAGATAACACGGCCACCGACCTCCTTCTACCTCTGCAAAGATCGCGTGCACTCTGCAAATCTTTCTGTTTCTCACTCCTCACTACTTTTCTTTAACTTTGTTGTTTCTGCATAGGTAGAGAGAGAGAGAGAGAGAGAGAGTGAGTAGGCGAGTTAATGCAGTTTTATGATTAGAACCCTTCATCAACTGACTACCACTATTTAGGATTTTCTGTAAAAAGGCTGAAATCAGTAAGCATAAAACTCGGGAGACCACTGCATAAGAAACATTGAAAAAGAGATAGGAGATTGCTTATGCGTGTGTATAACTGAAAAGGAGAGACAGACATAATACGTTTAAGGTTTTTTATAAGGTAAAACAAAGGGAACAAACAGGATATTTTGCGAAAGAACATAAACCCCCAGCAGGAAGAGGTTGAAATGGAGGGCGGTGGCGGTTCCAGTATGATGTCTTTTGGAGAAAACAGTAACAGGCTGTGTCCATCGATGATGATGCCGCCATTGCCTTCTCACCCTAATCCTCAAGAAACCAGCAGCAATACGCTATTTCTTCCTCTTCCTCTCCCCAGCAACATTCAAGACCTAAATCGACATAATAGCGGCGGTGGCGGCTCTACCATGATGATGGAAGAAAGTTACACCAACACAAGCACTGGGTATTATCTTACGGAGAGCAATAGCGACAACGATGGAGGAAACTATGCTGTTAAAGCAAAGATCATGGCTCATCCTCATTACCACCGTCTCTTGGCTGCCTACGTTAATTGTCAAAAGGTGAAACAAAAAATGCCAATTTTTTTTCAGGTGAACTTATAAAGAATACCTAAGACCTATTTCTCTCTCTTGGCCCCACGAGAACTTAAAAGAGTCAAATTATACATCTTCGTCTTGTAATATTCCCCATAATTCCTCTCCTTATTTCAAGAATTTGAGTGGTGATGTAAAAGTATTTCTAGTGTGGGTGTGCAGAGGGAGAATCCCTAATTTTGTTTTACTAATTTACCTCAAGAATAACTCATGAATTCGAGTGAAGAGTACGTAAGTAAAGCTCTTAATAGCAATTATGTTAGAGAGAGCTTACTAAGTTGTACCAAAATTTTCAGTGGAACTGATGATACGGGACTATTTATACAGATAGGAGCTCCACCGGAAGTAGTGGCAAGACTTGAGGAAGCATGCGCGTCAGCCGCCGCAATGGGCCGCCAATCAAGCAGTGTGGGTGAAGATCCAGCGCTCGACCAATTTATGGAGGCGTACTGTGAAATGTTAACGAAGTACGAACAAGAACTTTCAAAACCCTTCAAGGAAGCCGTGCTCTTTCTATCAAGAATTGAGTGCCAGTTCAAAGCTCTCTCTCTCTCCTCTGATACTGGTGATGAACTCTCTCTCTCTCTCTCCCTCGCTCCCTCCCTCTATCGCTTAATAGAAGGCATTTATATATATGTTCTGGGATCTCACTGTTTCTTGAATTTGTTTGTTATATTTTGTATGTTAGACCTGCATGTGCAGGTTTCCAAGATGGAGATTTGATTTACTGTTCAATGAACTCGTTTGCAGATGCATTTCCTCCATTGTTTAATCTCGCTTCCTCTCTCTCTACCTTGTTTATGTTCATATGTTTTTTCATTTTTTCTGTTCTCTTTGGGATTCTTTTTGCTGTTTCTTTGGCTTTGACTATTGGACGCGTGAAACTGTTTCAAGGGTAAGCATATGCCTAAATTTTCTGCAAGTTATAATAATGTCTTCTGTTTGATTTACTCTTGATATTTGTATCTAGTAATGCATTTCCGTTTCGACTCCTCAGGTTGGTCATTCGAATTTTAGAAGTCTATGTCATTTTTCTTATTTATTATATATATCCAGTTCGAATAAAGTTGGATACTTCTACATTCGGTTCTCATACAACTAAATAAACAGTGAAATTAACACTGATATTAAGCCTCATAGTGTCTGCTGCTTAGGGTTTATAGACTGAGGAGAAAGCAAATCCCGGCGGTTAAGGCTGAACAATCTCAGTAATTTGAAGGATTCTATTTTATCATCATTCACTTTTTATCTAAGCTAGTGAGAAATTAGTGTTTCCAAGTTATCGTGCTTTAACATATGTGCATTCTGTAACAATGTCCTTCTTTCCTTGAATGTGTTGATTAGTACTTGCCTATTCCGTCAGTAAAGCAAGGAACCTAAATTTTATCTGAATTGTTTGCCTTGTATTTCCGAAGCTGTAATCAGTTAAGTTGCAAAACCAGTATTATTGAGTTGGTACAAGTTTGTAAACCTGTTCATTAGATTAAGTCAAGAAAGGTAGTGAGATTTGATGACATCTAATATCTAGTGTGCTTGATGTAACTTCTTTTTTCTTTACATTTCGCACTAACGGTTAACTTTGCTGGACTTGGAGGTTTTAGTTTTGAGGCTGCTAGGCGACATATCAACTTTTATACTTGATCGTAAACTGACCTTTCACGTTATACCTTAGAATTTCCCTTTGCTCGAGGTATGAGCATACTAGTTGCAGTTTCTTTTCTTTACTAGATGACTCGTAATTCCATTTAATGGAGACTTCTGCTATCACAGAAGAGAAATCTGTATGACTGTGGGCTATATATATCAAAGTCTTGATTCCCTCTAAATCATACCAGTTGATCCAAGTTCTTGGATTTAGTTATTAGCAGTAGTACAAATTAATTATTCTTGTAGGTACAATTTCATTGCCTAAAATTAATGTGTTTTCCTACCATTTAAGTTATTATATTTCTTTCATTTAATGTAAAGTTGTTAATTTTTCTGCTGTTATTGATTTTTTAATTTTTATTGTGTTTGCATGAATCCCTACCTATGGCCGACGAGCAACTCTTAATTCCCTTTAAGATGTTTGACAAACGATTTAATAACCAACTGAAATGTCCATTTGTTAACTGAAAGAAGACACCTCAATGTACTTCAAAGGTGACATACTATGTTTCATGTCTGCATCTTTTTGAGGCATTATTGTTAATTTGGTCAACTTTGCATAGAGAGATTGATATGCCTGTAGACGGTAAAGAAACCCTCGATGCTCAACAAGATTAGTAATGCATTTATATAGGTAGATCCTTTTTAACTTATGATAATTGGTAGTTATATTGGCATTACTCCGTAGATGGTGGTTGGGTGAGTTGTGCCGTAAATCATGGAAAATATTTTGCTACATAAGAAAGGGATTATTTTATACATAGACTTGGTTTCCTTTGTATGGAAAACCATTTTCAATGAACCAATTTTTTTCTAGGACGCCAAACATTACAAAAATGGGAAAGTAAATATGTTTCGTAAGCTAAATGGATCCTTGGTGTTTCTTCTAGAAAATTTAACTCTGAACTATTTGTTATCCGCTCTCTTAAAATCCGTTGATGTTCCATTGAACATTGTGCACTTTTTACACAACAAACCCTTAGATGAAGTACAAAACAAGATGTAGAATTGGAAGTTTGGCCTCTAGAAGGATTTGATGTTGGCCATATTTTAAGTGAGACGATTGCTTATAAATCAAATCGTATTGCTATATTAGAGCAAGCAAATGCATTTTGTTAATAACGCCGATGTATGTGCTATTAACTCAGCCTGAGTGAGAGTATGCTCATTATGACATTTTTTGTTTTGGAATATAGATTGTCAGTGAGTAGCATTTGGTTTGGGAGCAAAAACAGTTTCTTAAATGTAACTTATGTGACATGCATTACCAATAATTTTTATTCCAGTGCCAAGATGCTAATGCTCCATTTGCATTGTCAGTGGCCTATGGCGATGGAGCTGATATGAATGGATCATCTGGAGAAGAGATTGATGTGAATAACAGTGTCATAGATCCTCAAGCCGGAGATGGGGAACTGAAAGGTCAGCTCTTACGTAAATACAGTGGATATTTGGGCAGCCTAAAGCAGGAATTTATGAAGAAAAGAAAGAAAGGAAAGCTACCAAAAGAAGCCAGGCAACAACTGTTAGACTGGTGGAGCAGGCATTATAAATGGCCATATCCCTCGGTATGTATTGTACAATTTCATTTATTAATACAAGTTTAGTCCATTATGAGAGCTTATATAGAATTACTCACTCGATAAATATTTGGCAGTTGATTAGAAATTATGGTCATGGACTCATGGTGACTTCTGTTTTGGAATTATAGATGCTGTTTGCTGTTCGGTACATTCATCTATATAATTCAAACTGATTTTATATTTTAAACTCGTGACTAATATTTGCTTATCTTCCGTTATATTGGAGACTTGTATAATTGGCTGTGATTCTCTTTAGGTTACTTTTTATTCGGGTGTCAATTTTATTTGTTTCCAAGGGTTTCCATGGGCTATTACTCTTTCATCAAGTATAAATACCTTGTTTAGGAAATGTCGAATCTAGGCTGAAAGAGTCAGGAATATTGCTTTTTATCTCGATCACTACTATAGCTATTTCATGTGCTACCTTTCATTCTCATCTTTAATTTCTGAACACTACACTTTGTGATATGACGAACCAACTTAGCACGATAACAAACTTTGTGGCACTAATTTTTTGAAACGGTTCAACTGCAAACAGGAATCCCAAAAACTAGCTCTGGCTGAATCAACAGGTCTGGACCAGAAGCAAATAAATAATTGGTTCATCAACCAAAGGAAACGGCACTGGAAGCCTTCAGAAGATATGCAGTTTGTGGTGATGGACGCTGCAAATCCCCACTACTACATGGACAATGCTTTTCCGATGGACATGTCCATCTCACGAACGCTTCTCTGAGAGTTATTAGTATGATTTCATCGGCTTATATTGGACGCGAACGAATTAGTTTATATCAGTAATGTTCACTTAGCTAGTATTATTATAGGTAGTTTCATTTGCCTACTTGTATGCGGGTGACTGCCATCTCGGGTAATATATTTGACCTGGACAAAGATCTCTGTCCGAATTGGCTATTTCAAATGTTCCTGTTTCTTTATCTTATAGGTTGCTATGAAGCGTCTCTTCGTTTGTTGTGTATTGCATATTATGGTATGGGAATGTACTTACTGCCTACTCCCTCGTTGGTCTTGGCTCATTTGTTATTGTCTTATTCTTTGTGCAGTACTATTGGACGTCTCGAAGCATAGTGAGTTTCCTATAACCTTTTTTTTTTAATGGGATCGTGTTATGAACAAAGCTTTGCTGGTAGCCATTTAAGCATCCAGCGTAGGTAGAGATGGCAAAGGGGCGGGGTGCCCGAACCCGTCCCGTCCCACGCCCTGACCCACCTTAGACGGGGCGGGTTCAGGGCGTGGGCTTGCCTCGTTTCTTGTTCCGTTTAATTTTTTTCTTTAAAACTTCAAATTAACTATTTTTTGTTTTTAATTTGTTAATTAATTATTATTTTTATTCGTCACGGGAGTTTCGGGGCGGGGCACCCCCTCCCTGCCCCACCAACCCGTTAGGGTGGGGCGGGGCGAGGCGAGGCGAGGCGGGGTGGGGCGAGTGTTTTTGCCATCACTAAGCGTAGGCGTGCTTTGCTTAAGTCGCCTCATGAGGCAGAGGTGTTCGTTCTTGAGCAAAACAAAACTAAATTTAGGCATAAAACATATTACTGCCTAAACAAATCACAAATAAAGGACTCAACATAGAACTGCTGCTAATATGCCTCGGGTTCAAATTTAAGCATTACTTTAGAAAGATCTAACTATCATCATAAATAAATTTTTACTTATTCGAGGCTCGATTTATTGTGTGTAATTAGTCAATATTGAACTCATACCAATATTAGAACACAACTAATCAAGTGTTGTTGATTTACTTAAAATCCCAATTGTACTCTGATTAGTTTTTTCCTCGAACTTCTCGTGTAAAATCACTTTTCATGTTTTACTCTCCAATTTCAATATATTTTTAGCACTCATGGTTAATTATATATTGCGTTTTTCACATAAAGTGACCGTAGATCCTTGTAAACATAAAAGGGGGATTGTAAGTACTTTTCAAAGTCACATCGTCAGTCTCTAGAGTCAAAATCTGGAAGTACATTTTGCTTTTGATAATTTAAATCCCTATTTTTATTTTCTTTCTTTCTTTTTGACGTTTCATGTATAAAACTTCTCTCCAATAAACTTTTTAAATAATTCCTATAGCGAGTTTTAGGTCGATTACTTTCAAATTAGATGATTATAGGGCACCAAGTTTTAAATACTCTCAAACTTAATTACTCGAATAATAAAAGCTAAAAAGGAAAGTATGGGATGTATCATATTTTATTTTCTTCATTTTTATATCCTATGCGCAAGACCTTTTTTCCATTAAACTGTCAAAATGATCCCTTAGATATCCTTGTAGGCTTAATTCCCCAAGCCATGAAAACTCGACAAAGAGAAATATAGGATGTATCACATTGTTTTTATGCGAGATTCGAATTTTAAAATTGGCCAGTGCTCGTTCTAAACTCCATAACTCAAACTCCTTCAACCAACGATATGATTTGAGAACTCCAAACCATCAAATTTCTATGAATATAAGCACTAACCTTCTCACCTCCAAATTGCCTTTTAGCAATTTAGTTTCTATAATAGGGATTTAGGAATTTACTCAAGTATAGGTCAACAACATCGATAGTTAAATCCACATAATCAGGTCATGCTCTACATAAGTGCAAAGTCAATACGACTATGTGATCAAGTAAACAAATTTAGCATGGATATGTACTTAAATAAAAGCATAAGATACAATTTTGTCTAGTTTTAACTAAATTTGTATTCAACTTGAAGAAATAAATATCATCATAGGCGACAAGCCGTTCAACATACTAGATACTATTTTTTTAAAAAAATTAAAATAGTTATACAGACCCGATGAATAGTTGAAAAGCAACAAACAAAGATGCTAAGTATCCAAATACTTATCCACCTCAAGCAAAAATATTACATTGTCTCCAATGTAAAAGTAAAAATAATCAAAATAAGGGAGTGGAGTATCAGAAATTCTTCAGAGGCATATGTGAATGAGTAGAGAGATTTGGCAGGTTCGACTAACTGGTAGAAGTGGTGGGCCTCAAGAAGTTGACTTTCCTTGCTACTTGGGCGACGTTGCTATCAATCATCTTTAGTGACTCCAAAAACGTAGCATCTGCTTGTGCACCTGATTATATGCATAAGTGATGGTTCTTTGATCCTTTCGCTTCTATCATCACTTTGCTGGAAATCTGCCCCACCCCAAATGAGACCACCTCGACGGGTTGGTGGGGACGGAGATGCCCCACCCCGAACCCACCCCATGAAGAATAAAAAATAATTAATTAACTACATGTTTAATTTTGGACATTGTCTCTTTCGAGTGCTTGTTTTGGATTTTGACGTAGTTAGTTTGAGCATAACTTTCTTTGGATTTTAAAATTTATATTTTAATTGAATATTTTGAAAAAAAAAAGGGACAGGAAACAAGGCAGGCCCCGACCGTAAGGTAGAGCCCCGCCACGCTATCATCTCTACTTATGCACAGAATTTTTGATACCAATTCTTGGAAATTCAAGAATCACGTATCGTTCGATACCACTTGATATGAAATCAACCATCATATTGAGATTTTGAAGTTATATATCAAAATATGAAGTATTTGATTACAAGTAAAAAAATAAAAGAAGGCAAGAAAATATGGTTGAGGAATTAGAAGATTTTATTTTGCCATAATAATGGAGAAATATACAATTGATCCTAAAATTCTGATAATCACTATTCTCACATTATAAAATTGTATAGAAGAACCAAATATTTATAGGGAACATCTAGTAGATGCTCAAACATTCCTAATAGAGTTGTTGATGAAGTAGGATACTAAAACATCGAGTCCAAAACAAATTCTAACTCCCAATGGACTTCCAAAATAGAACTTCAACTTGACATAAGATTCTAATAGCATTTCAAGTCGAATTCTTCTTGATGTGTACTTTAATTAGAATTCTTCAATTATTTCAATAAGGAATTCAGATCACACTCAAATTCTAACAATCTCCACCTTGACACAAATTCTACTGCAACAAATAAAACTCCAAAATATTTTCACTTTGAGAAGAAAATCCGTCCGTAAGGAATGAACCGACTCTTCAACAATAACCAAAAATGATTTCTTCAACCAACACAAAATATTTCACTTCTTCCAATGAATCCAATCATTACTCTGTAGAATTACCTCAAATTCTCACAAAATCATAATGATTTTAAAATTCACCAAATTGGGTTGTAACACACCCCAAAACAGAATCAAACCCAAATGCTTTTAAAGAAGACCTTTGCTAGATTTCACACTTTCTACTACGCTGAAATTATGCTCAACAAAATCAGCATACACATCTTTTACCATTGGGTCCGTTCCTAACAATTGAATACAATGGTAAAATGTATGTAGTTGGACCCTAACAATATCTAGAGCCGATGAATATGTATATTATGCAGAATTAAAATTATTAATTAATTAGCAACATGTCACCAATTAATTACTCTAGATGATTAAGAATGTAAGTCAATTTAACATATGTTTAAATATCGCAGTTAATATAATCAATAAAGAAAGCAGCAAAAACACAAAGTATGATTATGGAGAAACCCTAATTGGGTAAAAATTTCGGGCACTTTGCCAGTCAAGAATCCACTATAAACGATTTATAACTTACAGTCTACCGACTAGATGACGACGCATACTATCTGATCTTCTGACTGCAATTCCAACAACTTTCTTGGATTCTACGCTCTCGCACCACTCCCAACTGCAATTTCCAAAACTCTCTTGGATTGTGCTCTCGTGCAACAACTTCTAACTTTGTGAAATCGTTTATCTCATATGGATCCACGAAGAATACCGAGTTCTTCATCGACTAGAACTCCAATCAACTTCCATCGACCTTCAGCAACTCTGACAGATGCGGAAGAAAGAACAGTTTGGTATTTTGTATTATGAAAGTGATTTTTTCTCACCAAAACAATCTCACGGGACAAAGGTTGAAAGAAGAAATATGTAGGAATTCTTTTTGATGAATCTCTCTTAATGATCAACCTTCTCAAATCACGTCTAGACGTGTTTTGGTATTTATAGGTAAGTTAGGAAAGTAATGGGTCAGGGAAAAATCCTTCAAATCGCGAAATAAAAATTTTCCAAACAACATTGTCACTTGAGCGAGAGCTCAGCGACAGTCGAGCGATAGGCTGTCGCTCGAGCTAAGGTAGGGCGACAATCAAGCAACTTAAGTTTTATTTTTTATGCTCGAGCCAATCCATGATGACAGTCTAGTGAAAATTATCCAGTATTTTCTTCTTTTGTCATACTCGAACCCTAAACCTAAAAACCTATCTTCATATAATTGCACATTACTCCTTGACTTTTTACAACATTTACAATTAAGTTCCCTTTGTTTACAGAATTGCCAATTACATAATTAAAAACCTAAGAAACTCTTCCTTTGGCATTATGTGACAAAACTAGTGACTAAAGTTAAGGAAGTAATCAAATATGAATTACAGATTAAAAAACCTATGACACAACTAACTGAATTGAACGAATTCTGCATTTCAATCAGCACTCGTTTTCTGAAATATGTAACTCAACACCCAGTGTAAAATTTGTGGAAAATAGTATAAGTAAAGCAGTTCAAACAATTTATAGAATAAATACAATCTACGAAACATATAGTCTTATTCAGTTTCAATCATGCATGCTAAATCAAGACATAGTACCAATGTAACCCAACATATTAAGAAGACATATCAATGCTACTAAAACTTCAAACTTAATTT